GAGAGAGAGAGAGAGAGAGAGAGAGAGAGTTAACACATGCATGAAAGGAGAGAGAGAGAGAGCAAGAGTGAGACAGGGAGAGAGGAGGTCACCTACCTAGATGAGGATGCTGGATTTGGGTTGCTGAACTCTGCGCTGTTGAGTGCTTGGTGACTGGAACTTCGAAACTGTTTAATACGATAATTTGTTGGAATTTCTAAGCTGTGCTAGTCCAGGCTTTGCATCTCTGGTCTCCAGTGTGGAGTTCGTGTGATCTCTCAATGTGTGTGTGTGCTCAAGGTGAACAGCAGTGAGGCTCAATGCAATTGGTATTGGAGCCGGTACTCGTTGCATCCGCTATTGATGATCGCTGGCAAGATTAAGGTCGGCGAGATGAGATTTGGAGTTCGACAGTGCGGTAGGAGGCTGAAGTCGAAGTGGCGAGAGCGTGGGATGCTGAGTACGTACCTGCATGCATGGAGAAATACATGGAGCGTCATCAAAGGAACGTTCACAAGTGAAGTGCATCGCCCCCATAAACCCTGCATTTGCTTTCATGGATGATTGAGTGTCGTGTGTACCCTCCCACACCTTGGTGTTGCTGCTCCTTGGACAGAAGCCTGGTGACATATCTGATTTTGTACCTTCTGGTCAGACATCTGTGTATGAATTAGGTCGTGTCTAGGGTAGAAGCTCGGAAGTTGGATGGCTCACCCGAGGGCATGAGCGGCGAGCGCTCGTAAAACAACTCGTCTAGCCCTAAGACCGGTACTGATCAGCATGCGACCGAACCGTAGTTGGCGCAGTGCGGAGCTACAAGTCTTGAGAGCGAACCTTCAGATCCTGGTGAGCACGACGTCTTGTTTGCATCGTTAAAAAATTATTGAGGTCCTTGCTGGCTGACCTTAAACTGCGGGTTTCCCACCAGCCTGATAGGGTAGCTGTACTGCGGGGGGAAAAGAACTCGCGCAGGTCAGACTCCAAACTAGAGTAAGTTAGGCTAAGTGTTGAGGGTTACGTCTACATGGTGAGGAGGTGCAGGCTACTTGTGCCTTTAGCCACCATGGATAACTACCCGATGTTCGCATTCTTGACCTTGTCCATGCTATGGGGTCCCCTTCTCCGATTCATGTTTCCTTTGGGATTCCACCAGACATGCGGCATGAGTGTAACCATGAGGTCTGGTGGGACCACACAGCCATATACAACAGATCAACAAGCAGAAATTGATAGGAAATTGGCTAAGAAGAAGAAAGAGAAGGAGGAGAAAAATAGAAAGAAAGAGGAGGAAGTAAAAGAAAAATTGGAGAAGGAAAGAAAGAAGATGGAGAAGGAGAAAGAGAAAATTGAGAAAAAAGGAGGAAGAGGGAAAAAAGGAGTTGGAAGAAGAAGAGGAAAAAGGAGGAGGAGGATTAGAAAGAAGAAGGATCGGACAAGAAGGGGAGGAAGTGGCAGCGTGCTGGAAAGTTGAGACTTCAGTGGGTTGAAGATATAGACTGGGTGACAAAATTTGGGTTTCACACAGAGATGCCAGATGAGACGGGGCAAAAAAAAATGCATTCACCATCAAGATGGCATCTGCGGCAGCTGAGGAGGAGAGATTTATATTGTTGGAAGAGAGGAGGAGCATCCTTGATCAGTGTTTGGTTCAACAAAAAAGGAGGGAGTACGATGAAAGGAAGAGACTGAAGAAGGGGAAGGGCTTCAGGCCTTGCTGAAAGAGCAGAAAGGAAAGGAACTCGATATCAAGGACAATTTGAGCCTCCTCACTGACACAATGCCGCACACCAAGTTGAGCGGCATCAGGCGGACTTCAAGGCCAAAGGAACAATCACCTCAGTGCCTCCTCCCACATGGTCAATAAAAGGATCCATGAATACACCCATCAGTTGGACAGACACTTCACCCAGCAATTGAGGAACACCATCGCGTTCGTAGCCTTAGGAGGTGGCGGTGGTAGGGGTGATGGTGGCGATGGTGGTGATGATGACAAGAAAGGAAAGGGTCCCAGAAAGGATGATGGAAAGAAAGGTGAGGGAGATAAGTTTGAGGGGTTAGAGCGAAGAGAGAAGATGAAGGTTAAGTTCCCTTGGACATACACTGGGACGCAGGAGGAGAGCATTTTCCACTGGGAGGCAGCGATGGATACTTACATGTACGCGCAATTGATTCCGCATTGGGACCGTCTACTCATGGCGAGTTCATACCTAGCGGGAAGCGCAACTAGCTTTGCCATCTTGTTAGCCAAAGAGGTAGGTTGTACCTCGACGGAGTACTCTCAGCGAACGAGGATCAAGGACTTCTTCAAGGCCTTGAAAGATCGCTTTGAGGATAAGAACTTAGCACGCCGAAAATAACACCTCATCCTTGACATTAGTGATCGTAAGTGGAAGAGTGCATCAGCACTCAAGGCCACTATGGACGAGCTGCTGCAATGTCCCCAAGATGGACTGACCCCCGCTCAGATATTGAACAACTTTGCTAGAGCACTACCTGAGCTCCTCAAGACCTAGTTATATCCCCGTACGAAGGAAGAGGGGATGGTTTATAATAAATTCAGCAAGATAGCCGTAGACCACGCCGGATTCCTGCAGGAGGCGAACTATTGCCACTATTGGAAAGACTTGCGGGCAGGGAAAAAATGGAAGAATAGGACAATATCCGGTAGTATAGAAGGTAAGGATAATCTACTGGTCACCTTCGAAGAAGGAGGTGTAGAGTCATTATCATATAACCATATAAACTACGGTTTAGAGGAGGATAACAACGGTCAAGTAGCCCGGGGAGGGGATTATCATATGACCAGATAGACTACGACTTAGAGGAGGATAACAATGGTCAAGTAACTCGGGGAGAGGACTATGCAGCAATTGGAGCCCATGAGGAAGGGCGACAAGGAAGAGGTCGAGGTGGAGGTTGAGGACCTGCTGCCCAGAGGGGTGGTGGTGAAGGAAGCTACTATGTGGGAGGTAGGGGTTATGGTCCCTCACAAGGTGGTAGAGGTTCTCCCTTCATAGGAGGTAGAGGTAGAGGCAGGAGTTGGCGGTCGTACCCAACACACCTGGGGATAGCCGAAGGCAAAGCTTGGGAGCAAATGGGTATAGAAAAAAAGGTTTGGGAGGACCGTCGCAAGACTAACCAATGTTTTAAGTGTGGTGACCCCGACGACATCGTTCCTTTCTGTCCCGAGTATAGGTACCAGAAAGGGAACAACCAGTAGAGGTTGCAGTTGCCTCTACGGGGACTTCGGACATAGACAGGAAGATAGAAGCGCCCTGAACAAACACCCTCCTGCCCGAAAGTCCCCATGGCAGAGGCTGATGTAGGCCCCCACGTAGATAGTTGTCCATAGGTTACTTGTGTGAGGACTTCTCTAGGTGGTTCCCTCGCAAGCATTGGTGATGAGCTGATCACTCGTCGCCGCGCTTGGGCCAAAATGAAGAAAAAGTCAAAGGGGCAGTTGATAATAGCAGATGTAGAAGTAAGTAGGGAGAGGATAGGCGCGTTAGTAGATAGTGGGTCAACACGCAATTATATTAGTCGAAGAGGCACCTAGGTATGAAGGTGAAGAAGTTAGATGAACCGGTCATTAGTAAGTTGGTCGATAATAGAGAAATGGTAGTATGTGAGTACGTCGAAGGGGTCAAGGCATACTTTCGGTTGGAGGCAGGGGGAAAGGTAGAAAAAGTTCTGCACTCCTTGACACACTTAGTGGATGATAGCCTTCGTTTTGACATGATATTAGGAACGAACTGGGTCAAGGCCGCGTATGCTGACATTAAGATGGGCTAAGCGTCAGGTGTTGTACTTCGGACATGTGTTGGATGGAGATGGAATCAAACCGGAAGACGCTAAGACAGCTGCAATCAAAGACTGGTTCACACCTCACGCATTGACAAACTACGGTCGATCCTTGGTCTGGCCAACTATTACCAGAAGTTCGTACGGAACTTTACAGTAATAGTTGCTCCATTGCGTAGGTTGTTAAGGAAAGAAACAGTCTGAAAATGGGATGAGGACTATACCGCAGCCTTTAAGCGTCTAAAGAAATACTTGATAGAGTACCCGGTCTTGAAGATCGTTGATCCATCTTTGCCATTTATAGTTACCATTGACGCCAGTCAATACGGGATTGGTGCTGAACTTCAGCAGAATGATCATAATGGGTACAAACCTGTTCAGTTTATGTCTTGTGGACTGCCAAGCGAGAAGGTCGTCGCTTCCACGTACAAGAGAGAGTTATTTGCTCTTTGAGGGCCTCGAACCATAGACGACATTACCTCCTAGGTCGACATTTCAAAGTATATTTGGACCATGAGACACTTCACTAGCAAAAGACCCAAGCCCGAATGACACCTAAGTTGATAAGGTGAGTTGGGGAGATAGACCAATTTGATTTTGAACTAAAGCCAGTAAAGGGGAAATATAATGTTGTTGCTGATGCGCTAAGTAGACGAGCTGATTTCTTCGGTGCCATAGTGACATATCTAGATGCAGGCGCTGAGTTAGAATCGCTTACGCTAGTGATCCTGTCTATATTCAATTGATTAACAAGCGGCAAACGACACCACACGAAGTTCTGGACTATTGGATGACCCAATGACTACTGTTTGAGAAGACGAGCGTGCATGACAGACTGTGCATACCGAACAGTAAGGAGATTCGCAGTCTAATCCTAGGGAAATGCCACAATGTTGAGAGACACTTTGGGTGGAGGAAGACGTATGCTAACCTCCTTACGTTCCTACATGTGGATTGGAATGAAACATGACTCCATAGCCTATGTACATGGCTGCAAAGTGTGTCAGAGGAACAAGAGTTCCACACAGCCTTCCCTTGGTTTACTTAGGCCGCTGCCTATACCGTTAGGTCCCGAAGACTCTATGTCTATAAACCTTATGGACACTAAGGATAGAAGTAGAAACGAAAAGAGCCAAGTTATGGTAATTGTGGACATATTTAGCAAGTTTGTTGTTTTCATACCACTCCCTGCTGAGGCTGGGATAAACTTAGTGATTTGGGAGTGCTTTATCATTGGGTGAAAGACTACGGGCATCCCTTGACTATTGTAAGTGATATTCTATATCACTTGTCCACCTATGCGGCAGAGCAGCGGAGCACGCCGGTTCTTTGTGCCTTTCCCACTTGCATAAGCACATGCACAGTAGCTCTAGGGTCTGAACACCACCGTCTTCACCAGGTTCAATACATTGAAATGGCTTTCACACCCACGTGCAGAGTAATCCGCTCGTATTTCCCCCTCTGTATGCAAAAGGGTGTGAACGCCCTCGTCCCAGTAAAGCTCAGTGTGATGAAATTGTTACGATCCTGGCCAATTTCGAATTGCAAAATCACGAGAAAGCATAATGTCGTCCAATTGCAAGAAGAAGTGAATGAACTTGAGAGGAGAGAGAGGGAAAGAAAAAGAAGTAGAAGAAAGAAAGAAGAAGAAGAAGAGGTACACCAGCAAAGACCAACGGTAACCCAACCTTCTTCTCGCCAATTCCAATCTCCTCCTACTTTTCTCCTCCCCTCTTATTCAAACAATAAATAATAATAATAATGATGAATGGCAGAACCAGAATTAATGTCTGCATCCCTCTTCTACTGCCAGCATAACTTGAGGTCCACCATGCCTTGATGTGTGATGACCCGTCCAAACATGGACTGAAACACACGACTGATTTCTGAGTTTTGCCCATAGACTGAATGCCTTGCTGAGTTTCCCGCCTGCCACTAAGTCTGTGTGTGCACGCTTGCTGGACTGCGTGCCTGTCTGAGTGCTGGTTGAGTGTGTGTGTGGCCGTGCCTGTCTGATTGCTGGTTGGCTTGAGTGTGTGTATGGCCCGCAAGGGCACTTGCTCGTTCATTGGGCCCTCAGGGCCGGTACTTACCTGTGGCCGTGACATTGAGGGGTTGCAGCAGGAAAAACACTCAAGTAGCGGGTAGGCCGGTACCACACCCTGAAGAGGTGGATGTGCGGGTACTGGAGACCAAGCAGAAGAAGACAAAAGTGGCATTTTTAGAGGCCCAGTAGTTGTAGGTTAGGTCTAGGCGAATACCAGTCCAATCAGTCTGGGTCTAGGGCCTGTACGGGCAATATCAGAGTCTGCAATGATGTTTCCCTCTAAAAGGGAGGAGGTACCGGTTTCTTGGAAGGCCGAGCGGCCTGGAAGTCACCGCCCGAAGAGGCAAGCAGGCCGCTATATCTCCCAGCTAGAAATCTGCTGTGTCTTCAAAGTCTTCATGAGATAAAGTGCCACGTGGCACTATTGTATGTGATCAGGATTATCCTTATTATCATTGATAATGTAGTGTGGAAAGAAGCCCGGAGAAGGAGAGGGATCTGAAGGGTTCTGTGTATTCTCTCTTCCTCTCCTTTGTCTATTCTCCCTCCACACTCTTCTCTTTGGATAATGAGATACTGCTCGAGATATCACTTCACGATCTGGAGACCTTCAGACAGATATTGAAACTACTGTTTATTGATGACTTCTGAGTATCTAACAGACTGGGTTCATTGCAGCTACTGCCCTTGGGAAAAAACTGAAAGTAGAGCAAGCCTCAGCAAGGTCAGAAATGCTGAACAAAACTCAATGGAGTCTTAAGGCGACAACAACGGTCTGAAAACACAGTACAATTTCTAGAAAAAGAGAACAGAAGTGGGATTGGCAGCTCACTTACCCGCACATCCATAAATATGCAGTCGAATGAATTATGGTGTCCAATCAGGCTGACTGCAGCAGGCCCAGAGCTGACAGAAGTGACATTTATCCCATACTTCTCCAATGTCTGTTGCATGACCTTTCGGCAAACTGAATTATCATCGACCTAACATTCATTCAATGCCACATGCAAAGAGTGCTTAGTGAGGGACTACCAAAGGAAGGAAACAAAGAAAGTCCAACAGGAAAGCAAATCCATCCGGTTACACCCCAGTGCGCCCCAGAGCAGCTCTAATGTACCTTAATGCTCCACATGCAGTCCATCCTGCAGCGCAAGGGTGAACCCTTGTAATAATACAAGTGCATGCCTGCAGCAGACGCCGCAGAGGCCATGAAAATATAAAAAAAAAGACACATCACCCACTTCAGACACAGTTCGGCCCTTGCCACGGTCCGGCACTGCCATGCGGGTGTGGCCTGGTTAATACTATGCAGGCCATACCCGGGGCGGCACGTATGGCATGTGGGTTACGAGGTAGTATGTGGGACAGGGAAAACTATCTGGAGTGCAGGCACTATGGGCCTCGCTGCACTACAATAGACTCCTGAAAAGTTCAACCGTCGTTCTAGCGTTGTCAGACTCTTGAAATGCCAGATAGTGCAGTTGTGGCTGCACTTATGCTAAACTCTTGAACTCTTGAAGGTTAGGAAGCACTACGGGACACAAACTTGGAAAAAAAAATAGAAGAAAAAAAGAAAAAAAAAAGCACTACATGATGCAGCTACGAAGGTTTGTCCACCCAGACTCCAGGCAAAAACAATGGGGTGCGTAAGGTCCTTCCTATCAACCTCCCTTGAAAAAAATGAACTTGCAGGCTGGCACTCTTGAATCGTCAAGCGTGACACTCGGGAGTGACCTCTGACAGGACTTGAAAAAAAAAATCAAGAGTGCCTTTCTTCAGTTAGTGCAGCGACGACTCACTCTCGACATTTTCGAGAGTGAGTCTGACAGCTCTCGAATAGGTTTTGGGCATCCTGTGTCAAGAGTTCATGCAGCCATACCACACTCTTGAACTTCAAGTTTCAAGCGTAGTGCAGCGAGGTCGGGAGCATGAGGCCTGGAAGAGCTTCGGTTCGTGCTGAAAACAGCCATGCTGGTGGTAGTCGTAAGTGGATTGAATAGGTTTCACCTATCTGATTCGCGGTTGGGAGTCTTTTTGACACACATATTCTAGTGACTTGGTAGAGTTTGAGTAGTGGACCATGAATGTTTCTGAGTTCTTCCTTTCTCTTCAATTGTTCTTAGCCGGAACCGGGAATGGCCCCGGTAGCTCATTTTTTGTATTCTTATAAGGGACGCCGGGCCCGGGTCCCAGCCGTGTTGCTCCCCACGAATAGATTGGAGCATCGTCTCTAAAAAAAAATAATAATAATAAAAATGCAGCAAGGCCCTATGTGGGGTGGGTCATGCCCCGATGGAGAACGGTAACTTGACAAAAGCGGCAGAAGAGACTCTCCATAGGTAACTTCTGACGGCGGAATAAGGAGATCTACCTCTTAGAAGAAACAATCATCGCAGGTAAGCCGTGGCGGTGGATTTACCAAGGCATGAGGCCCCCACCGCGAAAACGTTCTACCCCTCGTTTGGATGTTTCTTTTTTAAAGTTTTTTTCCTTTCCTTTTTCTACTTTTTCTATTTTCTTTCTTTCTCTTTTCTTTCTTCTCCTTTCTTTTACTCTTTGAATTTTCCGCAACAATGAGAAGGATTCGGAATGCGTGAGGTACATAGGGAGAGAAGTCGAGTTTTTTGCAGCATAGCAGTATATAATGGTTTTCGACTGAGTGTGTGAGCACTTCTCGACCTGAGTAGTACAAGGGCAGAAGGGTGGAGATCGCTGTTTTTTAGTGATGGTGGCTTTTCATAATAATGCCACTATGATAGTAAAGCCCTCATTATCAGGATAAATTTTGTGTTATCTGCACATATAGCCAATTCGATCGACCTTGCACCAGCTGGGAAACGATTGATTGGTGCCATGAGCCTCTCACGAGCATTTCTTATCCGATCATTTGCTACGTATTGATTTAGCATCGATTGTTTGATCCACTGGTCTACTACCTTTACTTTTTACCTCTTTTTTCCCTCTTCCTATTATCTTTCACTCCTACCTTTGCCACCAGCCTACCGCTAGATACACGTTCAACTTCTCACCGGCGGATTCTTCCCGACGGCGCTCGACACTCCTATGAGTCTTCTTCAACTTCGCGGCACGATGACCTTCACTTCACAGCTGCACGTGGTGTTTTTGCGACTCCGTTCGGGCGATCAATCGTCCATAGCACCGTGGCGTGCGCCGGGAGGCTGCAAGGGAGACGGCACTGTTGCCAAGAGGGTGGGTTCAACCTCCACGATCGACTTGATGAGCTTACATGCTGTGGTGCATAGTAGATACGTGGTGGCGTACGACAGCCAAGGATTCTTCTCCGTTTAGTGGATTTAGGGTCGATGACTGAAGCTGTAGTAGTATCTGCTTCGGCCTCAGAACTGGGGTATCCATAGAGAGCACCGAATGCAGTAGATAGCGGGCATTTATGAACGGGAGACGTAGAGGAAGGGGAAGGGGAAGAGGTAGGTGGTCGGGCTGTGGCCGGTATTGGATGGACCAATCTGCCAATGGCTATCAGCCAAACCAATTCGCCACGAATCAACATCCTCCTCCGCCTCCTCCTCCTCCTATGTTCCCTCCTTATCAATTCTTCCCGGGCACGCACGCTATTGCTCTCTCTCTCTCTCTCTCTCTCTCTCTCTCTCTCTCTCTCTCTCTCTCTCTCTCTCTTCCCCGTGGAATTGAACTCCGCATTCGGTCGGGCTCATTGAACGCGCGTGCATTCCGTTCAAAAACTGAACGGAAAACCCACGTTCAATGAACGCGCAGTTTCATTGTATCCTCCAGCGATCTAACCATACAACTGGGGCCGCATTAAAATACCCCGCCATCGGCGCCATGATTATAGGTATCCCCTCAGGGATTTTGGCCCTAATTTCCTGAAATTAAGTTAACCCTTTCCTGGAAGCCCATTTGACTATTTGTGCCATAGAGTCCGTCGGGACTCATATGGCCACCCGTCCCGATCGACTCCACAGAGCCAGGGACCACACTTTCTGGAAGGGGCATGCAAGATTATGTGCGCTGATATGGGCAGGGGTCCAGGGGAGTCAGTAAGGTGGGTTTCCTGGATGCTTATCAGATCAGGCCACTTATGACCCCCAACTCCTTTTAATTGCTCCATGATAGCTCTTCTTTTAACGACATCAATGGTAGCTAGACCGTTGACATTGAGGGATGTGAAGGTCTAAATCTGCTGTTCTGGTACCCCTAGTCCACGAGGGATTCTTCCCATAATACGTTTGCAGGGCCTCCATCACCACACATTGTACCTACCCCTTTTCCCTTCCTTGTCTAAAGTCGAGTCCATCAACCACTATCTAACTCAGAGGAAGATAGCAAAAGTCCTCTCTGCAGGATCGTACACAGAAAGGAGACTACATCCGGCATCGACCAGACCGAATTTGCCTTTATTTTAAGGCTTTGCTTTGCAGACTCAAAAGTGAATTTCATAATTTTTGTTTTACCGGCGAATCAATAATCCGTTGAACTGACCGTACGGGGCACACTTGCTGCCAACCAGCTGCGATAGTAGGCTTGCTCCACCTTGTCAGTATTAGCAGGGTCTTTAGACAACACGATGTGGGAGAGTGTTGGCAATTACACGATGTTGTTGCTTGTGGGAGCAGGAAGAAGAAGAGGAAGGTGAAGCTACTGGCAAAATGCTTGGTTGGTCTTAGTTTTCACCGGGCCCCCACTGGCAGACACACCCTACTCCCTGACCACCGCTGTTAGGACAGTGCGTAACATGCATCCCCTTTATTGGGAAAGATAGCCATGATTGCGCGTTCTGAAATTTTGGGAAAAATGAGTCACCACATAGAACCTGGTATTGGACAAAACTTAGCTTTGCATTGGTGCATGTGTCTTCACTGTTTGCTAAGAGAGTACAGCATGGAGAAAAGGGGACTCATTTTTTCATCTTCGAGGCACCCACTCCAGCCCTGCCCCTCTCTTTGCCATTTCTATCGAGACTTCTGCCGTCTGGATGTATCTGGGCTCTGTTTTGCAATATCTCAGCATTCTTTCAATTCTGTTTCAGCCAAGGTTTCCTTTAACTGATATTTACTCTCTCCTTCATTTCCTAAATGTTATACAAAGTGAGAGGAGAGAGAGGGGTGGAGAGATGAATATACACACTACACACACACAAAGGGCGGGGGGGGAGAGAGAGAGAGACTCTGAGAGTGAGTGTGTGTGTGTGTGTGTGTGTGTGTGTGTGTGTG